CTATTTTATGTCATGGTTGTAGTGTTTCCAAAATCCATAAACTCCATTTTCCTCGTTATACCTTTCAAGCTACTAGCCCTCTGGATTTGATATTTAGTGTTGTATGGGGTCCCTCCCCAAAAATCTCTTTTGATGGTCATCTTTACTATATTTTGTTTTATGATCATTTTAGCAAATTCACATGGATTTTCAACGCCCCAACTCCCAAACCTTCCCAATATATTTATTCAATTTTGCAATCAAGTTGAAAAGTACTTTGAACAACCCATTTAAAAATTTCAAGCTAATTGGGGCGGTGAATATCAGAAAGCAGGTATCTCAAATCCCATGGCATAGTTCACTGTTCTTCATGTCCTTATACTCCCAAACAGTGTAGTTGTGCTGAACGCAAGCACAACCACATGTTGAAATAGGTTTAGCCCTTCTACATCAAGCCTCGACTGCCCTAAAATTCTGGTTTTATTCATTTGACACTATTGTCTACCTCATAAATCTCCTTCCCACACCTTTCCTTTCATGTCGCACACCTCTCGAGGCCCTTTATTACACCCCTCCTAGCTACCCTGTTCTTCCTGTCTTTAATTGTCTCTGTTACCCATGGTCATGCCCTCTAGATCCAATATAGTTATGTTGCTTACAGCATAAGCTGTGAGTATATACTCACACGGCTGATTGGAGGTCCACGAGGACAAGCCACGATCTGACGGTGTGGAGATGATTGGCGCCGACAGATAAGAGTTGAGACTACTTTTGCGGCTCGGCTGACCCAAATTTGCCAATAAAACCTGGCCCACCCAAATTCAAACACAAAAAAAAAAAACTCACCTTTTATTTAGTTTCCTCTTCTCTCTATCATTATTCATTACGTTGATTTTATTTCTCTCCCCTCTCCAAAAGATTTTCCTTTCCTCTCCCGATAACGCACAAAAAAATCTCTCTGCCGAGGGTTGCGATGAAGATGACGGCGGTGACGAGGACTGCAAGGAAAAAGGCGATGACACGAGGAAGAAGACGACGACGCAAGGAGAAGACGCCGGTGCTTGGCGACGATGGTAGCGGTGCTTGAAGGGAGAAGGCGTCGGTCGAGCGGGAGGAAGACGACGACAGCGTCGGCAAGGAGAAGAAGGTTGTTGAGGTAGATGTCTTCCTTTCTCTTGATTCATTGATTCGACTGTATGGTTTTATGGATTCGAGATCTAGGATTCTGTTGAGTTGGGATCTATGATTCCATTTGGGGAATATGAGATTCTATGCGTTTGGGATATGATATTCGATTTGGAAGATCTAGGATTCGTTTGGAGGATTTGGGATTTTGTGCGGTTGGGATATGGGATGTGATGTCTATATATTTGTTTACTCTGTCTTGATATTTCTCTGCCCTATATGGATGTTAGTTCGCTTATATTAGTTATGTGCGATTGAGATATTTGTTAGTTCGCTTATATTATTTCTGGATATTTATTCGTTTGTATATGGATATTACTTCTTTTATGTTAGTTCTGTGTTGTCCAGATATTGAAAATATTATGTCTGATATTAGGTATGTCATTGGTGGATATTTTTTTGGTTTGTTTGGATATTACTCTAGATGTATGGATTATAGTTACCTTATATTAGTTCTATGTGGCGGGGATATCAGTTGATTGATACCAAGATATTTATTTATGATTCCAGGGATATTGGACAATGGCAAGAACTAAAACAAAAGCAAAGAGACCACAATTAAGAGAAGGACCATCCCAACCTCGTCGTGGCATGATCGAAACATGGGGGGCTCGGAGGGACATGATCAAAAAGATTATCGAGAGTTTGATCAAGCAAGACAACATTTGAACTATTCCTTTTTCGTTTTTTATGTGGTTGTACTTTTTTGGATTTTAGATTATGGGATTGCCAAGTTGGAATGACATTAATACTAGTTGTATCGCGGTTTGTCGAAAAAACAACTTTATTTTATATGGATTTGTTTAAACTCAATATCAACACAAACAAACATAGATAAACATCCACACAAAACAAAAATCCACACCCCCGAGACTAATATCCCACAGTCTAATACCAATATCCAGTGGGTCCATAACTAATATCCTCACCATCACAGACTAATACCCACTACACACAAAATAATATCTGACCATCACGAACTAATACTCACTACAGGGAAAATACCCACACATCGCAAACTAATATCCTCCCATCACATAGTAATATCTTATCACCACAGACAGATATCAAATCATTCTACATTGTGTTCATATCCATTTCCACAACATCATCTTCTATACCCTAAACCAAAACAACTCTCACTCTAAACCCTAAAAATATCCACACCATCCAAACTAATATATCATTGTCTCAAACCAATATCCAGTCATTAAAAATGTAATATCTCACCATCACAGTCAAATATCAACAATACACAGACTGATATCTCACCGTCGCAGACTAATATTCGACTACACAGACAAAATATCGAACCACCATACATTGTGTTCTAAACCACGAACCCTAAACACTAAACCCTAAGTAGGTCAAGTGGATGTAGTTGTAATTAGTTGGAGGTTTTTGAAATTATTTTGGTGAAAAGTAAACATTAGTTTTGTGATATAAAAGGAGGATGGATACTCTTTTGTGCAAGCACGAATATTATTAATTAGAAGGTCTAATAAGAACAACTATGTATACCAATATCCAAATAAAGAAAACAAAAAATCTAATCACGCAAAACTAATATTCGATTACATAACGGGCAAAACTAATATCCGTCCTTTATCGAACAAATACCCATTCATTCCAAAATAAATATATGTCCTAAATCGAACAAATATCGGGGGCGCCCAAACGAACATCCATCCACTCCAGATATAATATCCATCCTTATGCGAACAAATATCATTGACACCCCGACTAATATCCAACCACATAAATTGATATCCGAAATCACAAACGGAATAATATCAGACCTACCATGACAAAAAAAAAACTTCATTTCCAGATGCTTTCCTCAATGATATCTTCATCCCCTGACTCTAAAGACATGGAAGTTGTTTGAGATGAGAAGAACAATATGGTGGGCAAGTTGGGAAACCAGTATGTTAGGGTGGGTGCTTAAATAAACAACGATGACATTTGAATAGTTAGTACAAGGTTCACATGGGAATAGTGACTATAAGGTTCACTTGTGAATAGTTACAAACTAATATCCATCGCATATAATATAAGTTCATAAAACAAACATCCATACCGCCCATACAAACACCCATTCACCCCAAAACAAATATTTGTCCTTAATAGAACCAATATTCGTGGCTTACAGACTAACATTCATCCACACTAGAAATAATATACACCCTTAAATGAACAAATATCATTGGCAACCTGACTAATATCTAACCACATAAACTAATTTCTGAAATCACAAACGGACTAATATCAGGGTCTGGAAGACACACTCTCCTACTATTATTGATTCATTGGCCTTCGGCCAATGAGCCCTCGGCGGACAGTCCTAACTAAGGTTGCAAGCCTTATGTGTTAGGACTTGATAGCGTGTTTAATTTTGATGAAAGACACAATTAATTCACAAACTAATATCCATCGCATATAATATCAGTCATGCAAAAATTAATATCCATACCGCCTAGACTAATATCCGACCACATAAACTAATTTCTTTCGATCCATGAATAATATTTTGGTTAAGGATGGATACTAGATTGGACGATATGAATATTAATCCAGGTTGATTTCTCTTTTCATGTGAGAATAGTTGGTGGGTGACATTAAATGCTCAACATCTCTCATGAGAAAATTCATCAAAAGCATCAAAAGTAGCATATGGTGGGCCATGCTTTTCTCTCTCTTTTGTCAACTCAGACCGGATATTAGTTCGTGAACTTTTGGATATTTATTTGTCTCGGCCGAATACGAGTTATCTCAGCAGCTCCCTCTCTCAATCCCGCCCAAATCAAAGGTGGACCCAAGCCACCTTGTTCAGCTTGATCAGCTGGGCCGGCTTGTGTAAAAAAGCCCTTAAATAGCTCACTTAAATGAGCCATGGCTGGACTAACCCCCTCACCCTTGAATTAGAACTGGGTCGACGTGGACAAATCTGGGTCTTGTGAGTATCTACTCACAAAACACCTTGTGAGCTTATCATGGTAAAGGAAACCGTACCGGAAGTCATACCGGATCCGTCTGTGGTATGGTATTTTATGGTACGACCGTAGTTCAATCGTTGTGTACCGGTAAAATAGCATTTTTTTAATTAAAAAATATTTTTTTGCTAAAAAACCGTACCGGCAGATTGTGTATACTGTTTCGGAGTAATACCGGAATAAAACCGGAATATATCGTCCACCTATAAGGTTATAACTTTACAATTCCAAACCTAGTTAGCAATAAACAAAATAATCAGCGGACCACATAGAGAGGATACTGCATGCTATTGACAACAGATCTAGTGACGGCCTTGGCTGCTCGCCGCAAGGCGCTCCATCAATTGGTTTCTCGGATGAATAACGAAACAAAGAGGCGGCGGCAACGGATCAATCCATGTCCCTATTCTTACATGCAGAATCACCAACGACGGATTTCTCTCCCCGATCATATATTGCCTCAATTCCCTCCCTACGCCAGCTCTCCCTTCGCCGGCTCTGCATATCCCTCTGCTGACCAATACCCTCCCCCACACTTCAAGATCTACATGATGAACAAAGTCTCTTTCAGATGCATATTCGACCTTTTTCTGGCTTCCTCCGTCAATCCGATCGGCGATTTTATCTCCTTCCCCAAATCGACAGTCACCGCCGCCGACAGTAACTCTTCATCTCTTCAGCTTTGTCCATGTGAAATACAATCGCGGATTTCCTAGAGAAAATCGCGCTCCAACAAATAATAAATCGCGATCTTTTGACGAACCCATTCAAAATCGCGTTTTTGGGCTCCAAAGCGGGAGCGCCGACTCCTCTCACACGAATTGTGTGACCTAACTTTTGAGGATGATTAATTCAGACTGTCTCGCGTTCTTGAGCAGGGGAGGGAGGCTCGAGCAGGCGGCGGGGCTGAGGAGGAGTGAAGAGGAGCTGCGGAGCGGAGCAGGGATCTGCACGACCTTTCGCCGGTCGCCACTCGCCAGAGCAAAGAAGGCGAACGACATAGTGGCAGAGCAGGGATCGGCTCGGCAGATCAGGGTCGTGGGTTGCTTTCGAGCTTTCGCTAGTCTCGAGTCACCGGTCGCAGGCCGCCAGTCGTCGATCCCAGGCCGCCAGTCGCGAGTCGCCGGTCACAGCTCGCAGGTCACCATTGGCCAGAGGAGAAGAGGAGGAGCGGCGGGGCGGGGTGGAGCTGCGCTGGGAAAGAGAAACTATGAAATGGGCTTTTCATTAGATTAGGGCTTTTGCATTTTGGCCTTTGGCCGAATTTTTTTTTATATATATATATAATTTGATGTGCCTAAACGACGTCATTTTTCTGCCTACAGTCTACCGCCGGTTAGACCAAAACCGGGCGATATTTCATTTTGTACCGGTTAAGCCAAAAAAACCGGCCGGCACGATATTCTGCCCACAGACAGCCTACTGTATCGTTTCTGGTCTAGTTTCTAATTTTTCCGATTGAACCGGCCAGTACGATCCAGTTTCGTGGTCCATGGAGCTTATTTCGCTCTAGAATCTAGATCGCATCAAATTTCACCCCGCTCTTCTCCGTACATTTTCCTTGGATATCTTTCTATGCATAAGGGCTAAGTTTGTTTCAATCTTCCACTCACAAAATATCCATTTTCCGTCATGTCATATTGGTAAAAATGCTTCCCATTTGAAGACCTCAAATTACCATCATCCATCACTTTCGCCTATCCTTTTCTGCAGCAGAATAGCGTCGAGGATGCTGGCCAGCGCCCCCTGCTCGATCCTGAGTCCCATTACCTCCTTGTTTCTGGCCACCAGATTGTGTTTGCTCACCCCCTAAGCCCAGTTGTCATAAACTCCTGAGTTCTGCCAGCAGAGGAAACCACTTTCCTGTTTGGAATTCCTTCGATTTCTAGCAAATTCAGGTTGATTGCCTAGCCACCATCCAATTGTAAATCCAAAGAGAACCAACCCTTAGTAAAGTACCATAAACCATCACTTCCTGATTGTTACAACAAAGAATATTCTCAAACAAAACCACCCCATCAAAAATATTAGCATCCAACAATACCCATAACCTAGGGAACCAGTTTAGTCTGCTATCATTGATAAAAGGCTAAAAACAGATGAATTTGTAAGTATGAACATTACTAATCGTCAGGGAGATATGTATAGCAGACAAATAAAGGAGGCTTTCACTAAACAACATATCCAAAGTGGCACTAGAAGGGCTAGCATGTGGTGTGGAGTAAATGCCACTAGATCACCTACATCAATCCAAAGGTCAAAGACAACAAAATAACCACCTGCAGACCGGGTTTTAAAAAACAAAATATAGAAATCCCACACTTTTAATCCTTCATGACCTCATTGCCCCAGTCATGCCAAAACCATACAACTCACTTCAAACTCACCACATCCAGCAACCTGTCTCTTCCTAGGCCAAGTATATGAACATGAGACACCAATATATAGCCGAGTAAGACAACCAATATTCATGACCAACAAATAAAATCAATAGTCCAATTCATAGTGTCACTGCTCAACTGAAACCATTCGTTTCAACTCCTCAACAAATCATATTTACAGAGAACCAGATTCAAACACGTTTAGAACACCATCTTCAGTCAATTGCAAGGCATGTTCAAAAACTTTAAAGACATTGTCCTTACTATCATGAATGACATACCAGGAGACTTTGTCGTTTAAACTATGAATCATTAGATCATTTAAGACAAGTAGAGCTTTATAGTATGAAGGGAAGAACCATAGAAGATTTTTCAAACTAATACTCAGCTCTACAGAGTAAGAACAAAGTTGTACCCTAACAGGATAACTTCTAAGTACGAAGGGAAGAACCACCCACTGTTTTTCCAAACTGAAGTTGCAGGCAAATTATTGATCTTTTTGGCAACAATTACTCTATCCATTGTCAGTTTAAAAAGAGGCAGGTAGGAACCGTCTAGGGTAATAGATAAGAATATTGTATCACCATTGGAATCAAAACCATTGATTCTCACCAGAAAAACCCTTACCAAATTATCAAAGAAGCAAAAAGATTATTACCTCCGCCTCAGGGTTCAAGTTGTTGTTAGGGGCCAGCTCCAATTGCTCCACTTCAGTCATGACTTCATCAAGCTGGTTCGGGTTGACCCACACAACTTTCTTCGGTAGCATGGTATTTTCGTCCATTCTAAATCCCGGAGGATCGGTCAAGAGGTTTGATCCATACACTTCATTACCTTGATGACGAGGGAAGGGGCATACCCTTCCCCATGGCCAATCCTTTCACACTTAAATCAAAACAGTGGAAGACGCTTATATCTATGTACGACTCTGAATTCCCCTAGTCTAGGATTGCTAGCTGTCAGCCTAGTGCAGAGTGGGAGCTCGATGTTGATGCACACTTTTGACTTGATAAAGTATCCCAAGTCTCCATGAGTTCTATACAACCCCGTATCCATTTCCTCGCCCAATTTGATAGCCAGCCTCCGTCCAAGTTTAACAGTTCGACATTGAGGAGGGATCGCACACATTTGTGCCCATAAAGAAACCCATGCCAGCCTATGAAACAGTTCTTCCGTTACCGGCGCCCATTCCATAAGCATGAGGACGTGGTCCTTGGTTATCTATGGTGCTCACTGAAGGACTATCCCGATCGCTTTCATCCTTGAACAAGAATTGCAGCAGACCCAAGTCAGCTTCCAGGACTGCCACAGGAGCACTGCACCTCCACAGATTGTTGACGATGCGCTGGAGCAGGGGAATCGGCATGTTATCCATGAAGAGCCTTCCAATTAAGTTGAGACCTGTACGAGCCATGCTTCCAAAAGTGACGACTTTCGGCAGGGAATTGAAGAACTGAATAGCTCTTTTAGGACAAAGAGTGGGAGTTGAGTTTGAGATTGAGATTGCCTTCACATCCTCATCTTCGAACTCCACGATATGATCATTATCCTTGCTTGAACCCATGTTTCTAGCCTGATTCATCCAAAACATATGTAAATATGGCAACAGAATTCCTAGGCATAGCAGTACCCCAATGATCCCCACAATGCCCATCTTGTCACAGATATGTAAAGAGAAAATGGCAAATAGAAACGAACCTAACCAGGTGCATGTTGGAGCTTGAGGGTAGAATTGCAAAGAAGATCGCTTGCTGGTATTGCTCGGAAATGAGATTGCTTTGCACTGAGAAAGGTGAGAATTTCAGGCCCCTGAACGTCGAGCCTTTATAGCTCTCTCGCCCCTACTCTGAATGGAGAGACGTCCGAGCGGCCATTTATGAGAGAATCGATATCTCACGCGAAAATTGAATGGGATAATCATCCTTTCCAATCTTGAGAGGATAAGATGAAATTCAATTTGCTTCCTTTTCAACAATCGATCGAAGATCATTGTCAAAACAGCGGTGCTGCTCTATCCTAATGTTTTCCAAAAGATGAGGATAATTATCAACCCAAAACCGGGTAAATAAACGTAAACTCAATGGAGGGAGACAAATGTCCCGAATCTGGGCAGAAAATTGGAAATCCCTCTAAAATTTACATGGATAAGCTCTCCGATTTTGATTCCTATGTGCAGAAAGTTAGGGTTTCCCAGCCGCCCGATGAGAGCTTCAAGGGAATTTTCCCCCCATGTTTTTGTCATTCCTCTTCCCATTTTCTTCTGTTTTTACTTGAAATATAATTTTGTTTTCTTCAATTTTCAATTTCATAATCAGTTTAGGCTTCTCTAGATTTTCATGAGGTTGTCAAATTATAATAATTCTTTTATACCTAAAGTGAAGAGTAAAATGTTAATTTAAAAAGAGATCTCACCAGTATCGGGATGAGTTAGGGTGATTACTAGTTTTTTAGTAACCACTGTGGCAACCTACATCTACACCCTTCATTATCTCCATTTTTTTCTTTTTTAAAATAACGTTTAATATTAGATTAAGGATAGTTTTGGAATAAAAAATTAACACACATGTACCTATATTTATGACTTACCATCTCCTTCCTTTCCTCTAACCCTATGACCACTTTCTTCTCCCATTTTCTTTCCGCCGCCGCACGAGCTTTTGTTTCCTCCCTCTCCATCCCTGTGACCTGCGGCACGACGGAGAAGCCCGAAATCAGAAGGAAAAGGATGGAAGACAGAGAGCAATGGTGGGTACTAATGGAGAGTTGTGGGTTTCAGGCTGTGGCGCTGAGCAATTACGCCATGAGCCAGGCGAAGATCCTTCTTTGTTTCCCTCCTCACAAATCCTAAAGCAAGCTTCCATTGGTATACGAAAGCAAGCTTCCATAGTTCCACTCCATCTCTTTCTTCTCCCCCCATTACTTTTCTTTTTTTCCCCTCTTTTTTTCTAGAAATGTCAACAGAACAGCACCATTGATTGGATCATTCGTAGTCACTTCCACTCTCTTGATCTATTATGGCACGAACACATCTCCCGTATCGCATTGGTATTTATTTTTCCGCATTGGTATTGATTTTATCGCTTTGCTTCTGCAGGTAATCCGGAATGGTAGTGTTTGCATTGGTAGAGAATTTGCTTTGGTAGCTACCTTGCATTTTATTATGGTACTGTTTGCATTATGCTTTGGTGGGGTTACCTGCATTTTCTTTGGTAGTGTGTGCATTACGCTTTGGTAGTTACCTGCATTTGTGTTGGTTAGATGGAGCATTATGTTTTTTGGTAGTTATCTGTATTTGGTTTGGTAGTGTTTGCATTATGTTTTGGTAGTTTGTCTGTATTTGTTTTGGTAGTGTTTGTATTGATTTATTTATACAATGGTATTGTTTTGATTCCACAGTAGTAGTGGTATTTGTTGTTTTGGTATTTGTTTGACTTTTGTAATGGTATAGATTATTTATATTGGTAGTTTTCGTGTAATGGTATAGATTTATTTATGCAATGGTATTGATGTTTTTCAAAATGGTAGTGATTTTCTAATGGATTGGTAGTGATTTCATGTTTTTTCTTTTGCAGAAAGATTGAAAAAAATATGAAAAGGAGATCTGGCTGGAGATTATGAAAGTGAGAGAAGGAGAAAGAATTGTAATTAATAGATTTTTGTAACTACCTAAAATGTAATTTATTAAAATTAATTAATTAATATAATTTATTTTTCCATACCCAATTTACCCATAGTAACCACGATTTTAAAAAAGTAATCACCGTAACCGCTCCCCACCAGTATGGCATAGCTATTATCTAGTTGGTAATATATATACAAGATAAAATATAGGAATGAGTAACCAAAGTTACCAAGACAATGATTTCACATGACTATAAATTGACTCTTAAAATAATTAAATGAAATCACATAATTATTTTTTTTTAAATACTAGGTTCAAATCACGAAACGTTTGTCCAAGGTTGTCAACCTAGTTTAGTCGTAGGCCTGGTTGAAGTGTAATGGCTCGATCGTTTTAGCCCAATTTAGATCGGATATATAAAAAAATTATGATATTGTTCATACTTCATAAATTTATTTATAAATTATATAAAACCTCATCTAACATATTGTTAATACATTTTTTTTACGAATAAGGGATTGGTCGACCGAGTTGACCACCTTGCATTTGTCCCATAATCTACTCGCCTTGGATTGGGATACGGGTGGAGTTTGGTCGGTTCGTTTATAACCGAAAACCAAAAGATCGGTTATCGGTTAAACCAAACCACCTCCTATTACCTACTGACCACCGACCAAAAAGAGAACTTAAAGTTTCGGTTATCTCGATTTTAGATTAACCGAACTGCCCACTAGACCAAAAGCATCTTTGTCATCCCTCCGAATACTGATCGATTAACCGAACTGCCCACAAAACCAAAAACATCTCTGTCCAGCCCTAATTGGAGACACTCTCCCTCCCTCCCTCCCACTACTACAATCAATACAAAGTAAAAAGTATGGATCGAAGATTGTTTTGAGATTCAATGTAGTTTCATCCCAACAAAACTATTCATCCCAACAAGTTATGGTAAATTCATGAATCTTTGCATCAAATGTATTAAATACCACACGCAGAATAGAATAGTATCACCACCTTTTTCTTTGATTGGCTGTTCAATAAATATGCTTTTCCTCTTTTGGCAAATAAGCTTTAAGCATTTGACGTCAAACCTGCAAATTTACAATCCGACGACCCACACCCTGTTTCGTCAAATCCAGAAACAGCACCTCCAACCCCAATTCCAATTCCGTGTCCCATCTTCATCATCTATGTATGTGTTATGATGATTAAAAAAAAGTGGTTAAATCCTTTCTCAATATGATTTCATGGCGTCGCCGCCGTCGCCTATGACCGGGCAGAATCCCGGTATTCCAAAACCGGTAGGCCCCAGCTGCAGGCAGGGCATTCCATGAATTGAATGGAATTCAATTCATTCCTTCCTTAAAAAGAATAATTGACCCTTCTGCCTTCTGCCCAAAATCCCTCTCCCCACTCCCTTCATTTCGTTACCCTTTTTTCCCCGCCTCGCCGATGAAGAGCAACAAAAAGGAACCCACGTCATCAGCCCCGACCATTCTCCGGCTGATCAACGGGCAGAAGAAATTGCAGCTCCACAACGTCATCTTCTTCGTCCTGTTCTTCGCCTTCGGGTTGCTGTCCGGTCTGGGTGTGGGCCTCTACCTGTCGAACATCTCCTTCACGTTCCAGCTCAGGCAATTCTCCATCTCCAAGTCCGGGCCCGGCGGCGGCTCCCCTGTTCTGATCCGGCGGTCCGACCCGCCGCCGAGCGCGTGGCACGAGATGGGAGACGAGGAGCTGCTATGGAGGGCGTCGATGGTGCCCCGGGTGCCCGAATTCCCCTTCGACCGGGTGCCCAAAGTGGCGTTCATGTTCCTGACGGTCGGGGCTCTGCCGTTGGCGCCGCTGTGGGAGCTCTTCTTCAAGGGAGGAGACGACGGTCTTTACACAATCTACATTCATTCGCTTCCCTCGTACGACAACGCGACGGCGGACTTTCCCGTTGGTTCCGTGTTCTACGGCAGGAGGATCCCCAGCAAGGTCAGTCAAGTTGTTTTCTGTTCCGTTTTTATATTTTTAATTCAATCAAAAATATATAATAATCCTTCCCGTTAATTTAAATATATTTAGCTAGTATCTAGGTGTTGCTGTAACCATATTTTTGGATGTTGGATGGATAAATTTTGTGTTTTGCGCTCTTGTTCTTTAGCTGCCGTGTTTACAAAATTATGGTACTTTAATTTCCCGTTCGATTCCGGATAGGTTTGTTGATGATGCAGACCTTTTTTCCCCCCTTTGTTCTAAATTGAATTGTCAAAAGATGAGTAATATTGAAAACTGAGATAAACAGCTTTTTCAACCTTTCCTATCCAAATACTGTTGGCTACGAAGAACCGACAAAAGTAGAAATATTGGTGGCGAGAATTCAAGTGACATGAAAGAAAGGTATGACTTGTGAAAAAAAAAATGGTAGTGATAATCTTTATAACAATTTATTAAAGATCTAAGGCAAAATACAGTTACATAGCCAAAACTTTCACGTTTGTACCAATAATAGCCATATTTGACGAAATGCCACTTATAGTCAAGTTCGTCCAATTCCTTAACGTTGTTAATGTTAAGTGTGACTGGGCAAACGGAGCATCTTACGTGGACCGCCACAGATTTCCACGTGGATAATAATTAAAAAAATTACAAAATCAGAAACCACTAATTTTTACACACCCACCTTTTTGTTCTCTCTTTCCTCTTTCCTTATCATCTTCATCTAACCCCTCTGAATCACATCGACGAAGGCGGCGACCACGAAGGCGACGAAGGAGAGGATCTTCCTCCGACGACCCCCCTCCGACGAACCCCGTACCACCGCTATTCCTTCCTCCACCATCAATATACACCCCTCCTCCAGTCTCAATTTTCCTCCATCGATCGAGTTGAACCTAGGGCTGACTATTTGGTCCCGAACTGTTTGGTTTTACCCGAAACCGGACCGTATAACCCGGACTGGGACCGGATAGCAAACAATGCAATCTCATATTCGGGCTTAGATTTGAGGTAAAAAACCGGATAAGAGACCCTCAACACCTAAAATCAAGATAAAATTGGGACCGGACTGGGTCAAGACCGGGCTGTATCCAATCCAATCTTTGGTCCTTATATTCCCGAAAAGACCGGACTGGGATCAGATCAATTTGGTCCAATTTAACCGGACCGGACCGTATAGCCACCCCTAGTTGAACCTATCGCCTCCTTCCTTGAGAAACACATACAGAGGATGGGTTGACTAACCGACGCCGAGCTTTGGCCGAGTCCTTCGAAGCTTCTTCTCTTTTGTATGCTTTGGAGGAATCTCGGAATCGACCGACGCGATTCTACTTTGAAACCCTAATCTCACTTCAAAGCTCGATTTGTGCTCTCCCTCGTCAGTCGCGACTAGACATGAGGAAGCTGCTCGCCTGGACATGCCTACAGCTCGCTTGAAGTGATGGGCAGGAGAAATCGCGAAAGGAGAGGGTTGCGTCGTTGCGAGTCGGCAGAGTGTGGGATTTTGGGTAAGAACCCTAATTCTGAAATCGGAATCGATCAGAAGGGAGTAGAGGATTCGTGGAAAGTGGAAGTTTGGGGAAGAACCCTAATTCCCAAATCGGAAGAGGATTCGTGAGAGGAGAGGAAAACTGGGGACAAACCAAAATTTTTAAATCAGGCCAAAGTTGGGGGGCTAAAGGATTCGCTTCTACGCAAATGGGAATATATGGTACAATTTTTTTTAATAATGTAATATATGACGTGTCCATAATTGCTTAGTTGGCGCTGACGTGTTCGATTTCTTCTCGCCTAATCAGCAAACCGTCTACTAATTTGACGGTGTTACTAACACCGTCAATGTTTCTAACGAAAAATGCTATATTTGTCCAACAACATTTTCAAAAGGTGGCTATAAGTTGTATTTCGCCAAATGTGGCTATTATTGGCACAAACGTGAAAGTTTTGGATATACAAGTGTATTTTGCTAGGATCTAAATCGAAGTTTAGGCTTTTACTTCTATGTATAAAAATCTTATTAAGTTGTTTCAAAAAGCAGGCTTGTAGACTTGTTTGGTCACATTTTTTATTTTGCAACTGAAAAATGCTTCTAAACATTGGATTTTGCAAAAAGCATTTCTAATTATTGACTGTACTAACCGTAACACAACTTCTCTAAGGGAAGGAAAACATTGTGAAGTTTTACCAAGTGTCCAATTTACAAAATGAACCATATTTGACAAGAATAGATGAAATAACATGTATGTGGAAGAAACGCAAAATAATCCTAATGAATTAGTCATGTACACCTTACATTTTGATGCCACAAATTTAAGTTTAATATAAAATTATTGAACAATTATGTTTTGGTATCTAAAATTTATGATATTTTCGTACTTACAATTTTTTAAATTTGCATATCGGTCCAATGTTTAGATTTCATTTGAGTCCATGAATCCAATCCACCAATCCTTTTGAACCAATCCATGAATCCAATCCACCATAACATAAAAGTATAAATTTAGTTTGTACAATACAAGATTCGACCATTTTATATTTGCTCATTACGTGAATCATTAAATAAATGCTAAAAGAGTTACAACTCTAAAAATATTAGAAGGGCGAATTTATAAACTCATTTAGTACATTTACGGGTACTAAACAAACTTCTACTAACTACATATAACAAAATATGCGACATCTACATAAGCAAGTGTCAATGAATTGCTACGGTGAAAAGGGTTGATTGTTGTGTTGACGTTCAACTAAAAGAATCGTCACAACCTTTCCATCATCTACTTCCTCTTCCTTTCATTTTTCACTCGCCTTCCATAACCCTAATTAGTATACTATTTTTATGTATTCTAATCACAAGTATAAATATATATGGTTATTACTTATTAGATAATAGTCATTTTCCACAATGGGATTTGAGGACGTGAAATTTTAAGCAAGTTCCAGTGGGTATTCCTTTTGCTTCTCTCTGTAGTTTTTCTTTTTCACCCAGACTAGAATTTTCAACAATTATACATAGAATATTGGGCTAGGTATCTACACATATCAAATAAATATTTATCATTTTTCTATATAAAAAAAGTAAATAGCTATCATCTTAAATACATCGCCATAAAAAGAATTAAGCATTAACTATGCAAATTACAGTTTTGTACCTAAACTTAATAGATCTTTCGATTTATAACCTAAATTTATTTTGTTGGCATATAAGTCCTCAAAATGTTGATGGAACATTACATTTTAGAAACTAAAATTATTTGTATATTACATGGGTATCTATACCCAACTCATACACAATTAGATTATGGAAGTATATATTCAAACCCTACTCAAACCCATCTATAAATTTCCAAACCCATATATACGTCACTCATATCCTACCTATAATAAATGAGTCTACTCAGGTTTAGGTAAATATCATTTACTAGCCAAAATTTTCAAAAAAAATTAAATTGGATGTTGACCCCCATACATCTCCTCTCAGTCAATATCATATGGTCAAGTCAATATTAGTAACAAAATTTCTAATAAAAAATTAATTTTAGCCACATATACATGCACATAAGCCATCTCCACTCCGCGACAAGGTGCAAAATCGCCACCTAGTATATATATATATGTGTGTGTGTGTGTGTGTGGGGAGTTCTACGGTACCCAGGGTGAAATCCGGAGTACCGCATACCTGGAGTAAGAAAACGCTATCCAAAACTTGAATTGACTGATCTTTTGAACATGATACTATACTCTAACCCCTTAAAGATCAAAATCTAAGTCTTAATTCTCTAAATCTTATACCCAAGATCATTTAATTAGAAACAATATTCGACGGTTATGATTCGTCCAAATATAGGCAAAAAAATCAATGCACCATCTTAGGGTTTATAGTTTATGATTTGGATAATTAGGACCTAGGGTTCACTCATTAAGGGTTAGGGCCGATGGTGAAATCCGAGGTACCACATACCTTGAGTATGAAAACGCTATCTAGACCTTAAATTGATTGATCTTTTGGACATGATGTTATACTCTAACCCTTAAAGATCAAAATCTAGGTCTTAATTCTCTAAATCGTATACCCCAAGATCAATTTAATTAGAAACAAGAATCGACGGCTATGATTTATCCAAATATAGGCAAAAAGATGAATGCTCCATCTTCGGGTTTATAGTTTATGATTTAGATAATTAGGACCTAGGGTTCACTCATTATGGGTTAGAGTATAGTATCAAGCCCAAAAATTCTGCTAATTTGAGGTCTAGATAGTGTTTTCATACTCAATGTATGTCGTACCCTGGATTTCACCCGGGGTATCGTAGAAGTCACCATATATATATATAATAACCAATGTATATTGAAGTGCAAAAATCAAGTGTGACCACACGCGTATAACGTATGCCTGACGTACGCTAGTCTTTGCCATATATATATATGGTGAGATTCGTGGTAAAATTTGGTGTATACATTTAGGGACGTAAGAAACAAATGATTGATATTTAGCAAAATGCGGAGTCTCTTAATTGCTTTGGCCTTAGGCACTCATCATCATGAGCAGGAATATGGGTCTAGTCCTGCACAATGCAAGTGCTTACACCCAGACCAACAGATATTGTGACATAACATGGGCAGGATTAATCTCCCACATGATCCCCAATATTCCCCATATCCATTCCCACGCTACTTCTTTCTTTCAAGGAGAAACACTGATAAAAGAGAAAGTTTCTAACTAGCCAGCTAAGACGCTACTACAATTTAATTTCTTTCATAATCCCTAAGTTAGTGGAAATGCATGCAATCTTTGAACCTTCAGATATAATGGTTGCCTCTCGGATGATAATGTTACTTTATTTTTATGATTAAATGTGGGTAGTACTGGAAAGAGGTAATTATCTGAGTGTGATTTGAACGGGAGACCACTTGGATTCTAATCGGTTTTCTTAATGAATGAACAGGATGTGCAGTGGGGGAAATCCTCGATGGTCGGAGCCGAACGCCGCCTACTAGCCAACGCGCTCCTCGACTTCTCCAACGAGAGATTCGTACTGCTGTCAGAATCCTGCATCCCGCTGTACAACTTCACCACCATCTACAACCACCTCATCAACTCCCCGGAGTCCCACGTGGAGGTCTACGACCAACTGGGCCCGGTGGGCCGCGGCAGGTACAACCCGGCGATGGACCCGGTCATCAAGCTGGCCCATTGGCGGAAGGGTTCCCAGTGGTTCGAGATGGACCGCCGGCTGGCCGTGGAAGTGGTCTCCGACCGAACCTACTTCCCGACGTTCGAGAAGTTCTGCAACGGGTCCTGCTACGGGGACGAGCATTACCTGCCCACGCTGGTCAACATTAGGTTCGGGGGTTGGAACTCCAACCGGACCTTGACTTGGGCCGACTGGTCGATTCGTGGGCCGCACCCGAGGAGCTTCTGGAGGCCCGACGTCACGGTTGGGTTCCTGGAGGGGTTGAGAGACGGGGGGAAGTGCGAGGAGTACGGGAAGAGCGTCGGAGGCGCCGCCGGGGGAGGAATAGGAGTTCATTATTATGAAACTCGTAACAATAAGAGTGACAGTAGTGGTACCGGCGATAGAGGATCAAAGTGCTTCTTGTTTGCTAGGAAGTTCCGTTCTCATTCTCTGACTAGGTTGTTGAGATTTGCTCCTGGTGTTATGCAATTTTAGTTTGTAATTAGAACTTAGAAGTACGGTTTGAGTAATTTGATTCAAGGAACACCCCATGTCAGTTATGGTCGAATGTCTTTGATGAATAGAATTCTACAATTTGTTTTGTAACAGTTTGTACTTAAATGTAAATAATTATAAATTGAGGGACTGCGTTGTGATAGAGTAGACGAAGGAGTAGTGGTTGGCAGCAATCAACACGGGAAGGATACTTAATGTATCCGTTGTAGTTTGTTAGGGGTATTAGAAAATACAATAACGACCCCCCTCCTTCTCTTCTCCCATACCTTCTCTCCACAAGGCGTGAAAATAATTTTTTTATAATGATGAAAATAAATTAAAAAAAAAATGAGAAACAGAGTCAAGGCCAAAACGGCCAGAAAACTGAAACAAGAAACAAAAGGGAAGGTGAAGTCCATCACAGGGCGCGAAAGGACACAAACCAAAACCCGCCTACAAACTACAACGTCAACCCCGGCAAGATAAAAACAAGGCAAAGAAGAAAGACACAGGGGTGTCACATCAACAACATCAACAAACAAGAACCAGGTGAAACACAAACACCCCAAACACCAAACCACTTAACCAATATGATCAGTCCTCCCACACTTGCCATGAGCCAACAACCAATCTCCCACATGCCAAATGATCTTGAGCGACACGTACACAGACTGGTGGCACTCGTCCATGAACACTCTGTCATTCCTTTCGCTCCAGATAAACCAACACGCAGCGTGGAGAGCTCAATAAACAAACCACTTCATGTTATCCTCGGGTAACCTATCAGGCCAGCAGCGCACGGAGGCCTCCAAACTTATTGCTGGTCTCTCGACCATTCTGCAGCTGCTGCAAATTTCAGACCAAACTTCAAGAGTGAAAGGAAAATCCACGAACAAATGATCAATTGATTCCTCAGCCGTCCTGCACAACTTGCATCGATTGGCGATAGAAGAGCCTCTTCTTTTCAGGTTATCGATAGTGAGGATCTTCGAATGAAACGTGCTCCACATGAAGAAGTTAACTTTGAGTGGGATCACTTTCCTCCACACAGAGGAAGCGGGATAATTCTGAACCCCACCTGGCTTTGGACAGATTCCTGTACAAAGTACAAACAGTAAAGGAAGAACTTTTTTCCAGAGACTAGGACATTCTACACGGACCAACAAGAGCAAACTGAGACTCGACAGTTCGAAGCAAATTCAAAATATTCTCTCTCTCCCTCTCAGCCCCACCCCGCAAAGAAACATTTAAACTAAGATCCCACGAAACACTCTCACCTCTCACCATTGGAAGAAATAATGTCACTTATCTGGGCTCCGGGATCAAGCACAGCGACAGCGATACGAGGGAAAGAAACAACAAGGATATGGCCTGGGATCCAAAAATCGTGTCAAAATGACACTTCTGCACCTTTTCCAGGGTCGATGCTAGCGAAATTCCAGAACATACTGTACTCTTTTGTTATGTTAGCCCAAGGGGAACACGAGAAACCCTTTCTACACACCTTCCTTTGCCACTGCGAAAGGGAGTTGTGATACTTGGCATCAATCAGCAACCTCCACCAACTATTCCTCTCAATCACAAATCTCCACAACCATTTATTCAAGATAGCACTATTGAAAGAGGAAAGATCGACCACCCCTAATCCACCATAAGTTTTCACCGCTTTGTACATCTCTCAGCCGATCAGGGGTGTTATCTTGCCCTCTCCTGCCCCATTCCAGATGAACCTCCTTTGAATCTTTTTCATAAATTTAACAGCACACTTCGGGGTCTTGAAAAGAGAGAAATGGTAACCCACCAGACTAGACAGCACAGCTTTATTGAGTGTAAGCCTCCCTCCCGCCGACAAGTACTTACTTTTCCAACCATCGAGCTTGTTTTGAAATTTCCCAATGATCGGATCCCAAATGGCCGAGGAGTTTGGCTTAGCACCAGAGGGAATCCGAGGTATTTGGGAGGTTCTTTGCTCCATCCACACCCGAAAATATCAGCAAAGAAATCTGATTCCGGAACGTCACCTACTGTATACATCATTGATTTATCAAGGTTGATCCTTAACCCCGTGACCGACTAAAAGCATACTAAAGTCGCCAAGATGCTTAGAACTTGATCAACATTAGCGTCGCAAATTATCAAAGTATCGTGGGGATAGTTATCTTTTAAAGTACGAAATTGTAACATTTCTTTATAGTAGAAGAGTCCCAGAAAGTTAGGGGTATTGAGTTTTTGTTGGAGTGTTACAAAGAAGGAACTACTAAAGAACTCCGATCGGATTCCATTCTAGCATTTTTTGTAAAGTATTTGTTCTAAATGTTGTTTTTTGTGGGTTTTATGTAAACCAAATGTGACAACAACATGTCATTGGTTATTACTTTTGTGGATTTCGCAAATTACAACCGTATTTTAAGAATTCAATTCCTACTCATTTCCTTATGTAATACTTAATATGGCTAAAATGGTATCATATTAAGTCATGAATTGAGAATCCATAAATGAAGTCGAGACATCTCCACTAATAAACATCTTTAGCAATTGTGTGCAAACTTCAAAAACTTTCATAATCGAAAGGCTTTTGACAAAAATACCATTTAATGAATAATACTTTTATAATCCGACCAACCAATCGAGTATAGTTAGTGAAATATTTAAAAAAAAAGTTAGAAGATTATCTCGTATAAACATTATACTTCAGTGATATGATTGGTAAATTACCAATGTGGTGGGGATGGCAATGGGTCGGGTTGGGGCGGGTTTTGTCAAACCCAAACCCATGGGTTTATCCGCCAAAAAAACCCGGAGTAAAACCCGTTGGGTTTGAAAAACTCAAACCCAACCCAACCCGTTGGGTATCCGCGTGTTCATGGGTACCCGTGGGTTTTTGTGGTAAAAAATTTACAATAGCAAATTTCTTTCAACATAAAAGTTTAACATCAATTTTCTCATATAAATTAATCATACAAAAAAACACCAATCTAGAGCATACAAGCAAACCGCAAATGATCAATACAAATTGTTCAAAATTAAAGATAAACATCTATAAACAAAAGATTAATTGAAAACTTCTTCCTCGTCAACTAAGTTTCTTCACTCTCCACTTCATAATATCAACTTCATTCTAAACAATTAGAAAAAACAAATGGTACATGTCTCCACAAACATAAAGAATATTAATTGTTTAAGGAAAATATATTATTTAGAATATTATATATACCGGAAAAGTAATTATATGTGTGTGGGCGGGTACCCATGGGTCGGGTTTACCTAAACCCAAACCCAACCCGACCCGGTGAATAGTGTAGCGGGTTTAAACCCGAACCCAACCTAAAACCCGTCAACACGGGTTTTACCTGCGTTGACCGGGTTGGATCGGGTGGATACCCGTGGGTTCGGGTTTTGTTGCCATCCTAGGTGCGGTGAAGGTTTTAGGGAATAGGAGTCGTCATAATTCAGAGGAGCGATTGGCAATCGCATGCTAGCCTAGGTCACTCCGCGAAGGCACGAACCGTTTCGATGGAAGATGCACACAACGTTTCTTGAGCCATTCCCAGAACTTTCCCCAATTAATTACTGTTGTTTGTTTTTATTATTATTCATCCCTTTGTTTCTATCTCAAAGGAGACCCCAAGACAGCATCCTCATTATTAATTGTTGTGAATAAATAATAATAATAATAATAATTAAAACGAAGAAAAAACTCATCGTCTCCAGGTTGGTGGACCCGTCGTATAACTACCATCTTTGCCATCGAAATTACGCCGATTCCTACCCAGCAACACCAAAGGAACCTTACCTTGCCTTTGTGGCTTTGTCTTACCTTGCCTTTCCCTTCCTCCCGTCGTCTCATATAGATCCATTAGTCCTCTTGTTTTTCGCATCTGGTTCTCTCTGTTTTCCATTTCATATCCATTCATCAAAAACGAACATATATATGGCTTCCAAGAGGTGGTTCATTGACGATCATGCTGATGATAACGACGAACCAGCTGCACCAGGATCCGACCCGGCAGGACACCATCATCAGCCCAGCGACAAGAGGATCCGAACCACTTCTACTCCTTCCTTTGCGTCGTACGAACCAAGACCATCCATCCCCTGATGCATAACTAGCTTGCTTACAAAAAACTGACATAGTAATAGAGTTTTTTTTTTTTTTTTTTTGGTATGTTGTTGCTGCGCGCAGAGTGATCGGAGAAGCGGTTATGGTGAACTCACTGAAGCATCTCTGTATGGCCCTCGAGCCCGTGCTCCGAAAAGTGGTACGTTGTAACATCAATCCATCGCCTCATTCATCACTGTACGTATATATATTAATTCAAGTAAACACATCATCATCATCATCATCATCAGGTGAAGGAGGAAGTGGAGAAGAGTCTTAGTAAGAGATACTCCGCGGCCGGCTCATCATCATCAATGTCCTCGTCTCATACGCAAACTCATCAACCCATGGAGCCGCCGCCACAGCCAGCATCATCATCACCATCTGGTCTCCAGCTGGTCTTCACCAACAAGCTTTCCCTCCCGATATTCACGGGGACGAAAATAGTAGACGCCGGCGGCTCTCCTCTCCAAATCCTCCTGGCCGACATCGCCACGGGGACTCAGAAGATGGATAACAAGGTGGTGAAAGTGGAGATCGTGGTTCTGGACGGCGACTTCCCGGAGGAGGGGGATGGCAGCATGACGTGGACGGCGGAGGAGTTCGGTAGGAACGTGGTGAAGGAGAGGACGGGGAAGCGGCCTTTGCTGGCGGGGGATTGCTTGACCTTCACGCTACGTGACGGCCGCGCCTCGCTTGGGGAGATCGAGTTCACTGATAATTCGAGCTGGATACGGAGCAGGAAGTTTCGGATCGGGGCTAGGGTTGTTCATGACGGCCGAGGTTTGAGGGTTCGCGAAGCCATGACTGAGGCGTTCATAGTCAAAGATCATCGTGGAGAATGTGAGTGTCATTTATTTATCTCCTTACCAAATCCATCTTACCGGCCTATTATCATATACTATATATTATGATGTTTATTATCATCTTCCAATACATGATATGATGATCTAGACATGCACACAAAGTCCTCATACATATATTGATGATTCGTAGAATCTAATAACACATTCCTACACTCCATAGTGTTTATTTTGTTCTTGAAACATCGAATATATATTCTGTCATGTGAATCATGCATTGAGTTGTTTTCCAAGTGACAAGTGAGGTGAGGATAACACAGTACCCACATAAGCAATTCCTATGTAAGGGTAAACTACCTATTCATACTTTTGGGTAGCTTGAGAGAGTGAGGTTAGGAGGATGAGAAGAATAAATCTTGATCGTATCATATTTGAGAAGGAGAAACAAGTTCATCCAATAATACTGCAAAATACTTGTAATCATAGCACAATAAATTTTCTCTACAATCACGGATTCTCTCTGTGATCTTATCCATCAATACTTTGCAATCACGCCTTGATAATTTCATGTAGTTAAAGGAACTCCCAAATAGACTACTATCAGCCCACCCAGAAGAAACTCAATAGAGGAAATATCATGCATTTCCTCCCGAGATATGCCACCATACAACAACTGAAGTTTTGAGGGATCACAACAAAGTTCATTAGCTTATAAAATTCCTCCAAAAGTGTTATAATGCTAGCTACTCCTCTTATTCGTCCATTAGTATAAACTAACATATCATCAACAAAACATATATAGATGGGTAATGAGCAATTGCTTTTGCTTGCAACATTGATGGAAGTGAATCTTATCATCTCTAGCACCCATTTGGAACAAACACGAGAGCACTTCTTCTATCTCCCCACCCAGTTTGAAAGAAAGGAAGCACCATTTCCTATACTTCTATGCTAATTATGTGCCACACATATTTATAGAACTCTATAGGGAATCCATTGGGATCAAGTGTCTTATCCACATTCATTACAAAGGCACATTCATTACAAAAAAGACCTTGCCTTTGTTTTCTTAGTCTCCAACTCCCTAGAATCTTCAAGTATCAACTTGTATTAAAATTTGCAACATATCCTAAAAGAAATCAACTGAATTATGAACTTCACATTGATTTCACCAATCAGCTTCTTATAAAACTCCAATGCCACATTGCCAATATCTTGTACATCTATGACCACGATCACTCTAGCTTCATTAAGCCAATTGTGTGATGCCTTTGAGTGAGAATTCGTATTGTTTTATGGAAGACAAACATATTAGCATCACCTTCTTTTACCTACTACACTCAAATTTTTTGTTTATAAAAAATACCTCTCAGCATATTTTACCATCTTCATAATCTTGCCTAATTAACTTCTCTATTAGATTTGATAGCTCTTTGAGATGGACATTTTCAAGTATGGCTTGAGCCTCTTTCAAATATTAATAGATCTCCAAATAATACTTAGCGTTGTCTCAGATTAATTCTCAGTTTCAATAAAGTGGAAAGCTTAGAATAAATTTCATATATTGATGTGAGTGTTGAGATTGAACGAAGCATAATTCCACTTATTAAGAATACGTCATGAACCTATGTAACTTCCACTTCATTTTTCTCTCACTTTCATGTCATTTTCAATACGAATATAAAAAGAAAATGTTGGGTAAGTATTGACGTAGAAAACCATAATTTAATGTTTATATAATTAAATGTCACGAGAACATTTTCATCATGCCTCCATATCGATTCAACAAAGTTTAACAAAATATCTTATAAACTTATTAAGGGATTTGTAATTGTCATATTTATTTAAAAGTTACAAGTTTTTTGTTAGATTATTTACGAATATTATGAAGTAGTATATACATGTAATTTAGAATGGCCTTAGTAATCGCACCTTCTCCTAGCCTCTAACAAGTTGAGTTTGTTTTATATACAACTACTGACGCGAGTCAATATTTTATTCGATTTAACTTGATTGTTGTTTCTTGTAAAACGTATGGATCTTTGATTATGTACTAGTGTACAAGAAGCATCACCCCCCGATGCTGGAGGATGAAGTGTGGAGGCTGGAGAAGATTGGGAAAGATGGGGCTTTCCATAAGAAGCTCGCTGCCGAAGGCGTCAATTCCGTTCAGGACTTCTTGAAGCTCTCTGTCGTCGACCCGCTAAAGCTCAGAAAGGTAATTAAGCCAACACTATCAAACTTTAACGATTTGAAAATGTGGTGATAATTTACTTCAATTGTGGTCTCGTCTTGTGGGATTAGATGTTGGGGGCCGGGATGTCCGACAAAATGTGGGAAGTAACCATAAAACATGCGAGAAGATGCGAGTTGGGGAATAAACATTACATCTACAGAGGGCCAAGCTATTGCCTCACCTTAAACCCTATCTGCCAAGTCGTCAACGCCACTATTAGTGGACAAGATTGCTCCAACCTTGACATTTCTGGTATCAACAAAGTAAGTTCCCTCCAGTAAATGTACACCTTGTTTCAAGAACAACATGACATTTTTTTCTCTCTTTCTTTTGACATTACCTTCTACTTTATTAGCTTTATATCGAGAACTTAGTAAGGCAAGCATATACAAACTGGCATGACCTACAAGAGGTCATTGGAATACCGAGTGACGTTGCATCGCTCAATCAAGGTATCTATTTTTTATGCTTAAGGCTTATGATAGATTATCCTTCTTTACTACATGTCATTATGTTATATCAACTCTTAGTGTGATCGCCTTTTGGACATTTAGTAGATTATGAGTTATTACAAGTAAGGTGATGTATCAATATTAAATGATTATGAGTTATTACAGGTGAGGTGATGGATCAATACCCTAATCATCATGATCCTCAAGAACAACAACAACAGCCGCAACAAGAACAAAATCATATCGTGGCAAAACCGATACCATTATCATTTCATCATCAATACAATCTAGGAATGGGTGGATATATGGAGCTAGGGAGAATAATCCAGCAACCATCTCATCAACAGCAAATCAATACTATCGAGCAACACCAAGGCAACATGGGCAACAACACTAGTAACAATAACAATAATAGTTGGCAGATCAACTCTTCATCATCTTACCATCCCCATAATCAGCAGCTTGTCACGACTGTTGCTTCCCTTGAACCAGTAGATGAAGGTCTGCGGCACACTACATCAAATCCATCCTTGACTAATGGTGAGATTGCCAACTTCTAGTCATATAGAGCATGACTTGGCTCGTCAGTACAGATACATACGAAACTACATGATCTGCAATCATCGTAATTTAATTTTGCAAACCATGACATGGTCGAAAATTTTTCAAAAATCTACGATGGGTTGTCATAGTGAAGTGATTATGAAGATGTAAAGCATAATTAGACATCTTCAATACTCTATGTGCTTTCATATGTCTTCCATTTATCACCTTCTAGATTGCAGGCTAAGCTCTATTTTCTTCAGATGTTGTTAACCAACTTTAAATATTCTCCCAATTTCAATAACTCAAATAAATCATAAAACTATACCTCTGCTAATAGTTTTTATATGAATGAATTGATTTTGTTAAAAAGGAATCTGGAAGCAAAAAGGTGTAGGGTAAGAAACTAAACTTACAATGAATTTGTTTCCTGAAATATCATGTTGTCATATTATCAAATGTTGATAGAAATACGTAGATTCATCTTGGTTAACAGTTAGAAACTTTGTACGAAATTTGAAAGACGATATGGTATTGGACAATACCCCTAGCATACTATTAATGAGGTTTTCTTAAATTCCTTCTTTAGAGATTTATTTAGTCATGATCTACTAAACATCCATAAATGACCACTGTGGACCAAAATACTATCCAAACTAACACCTAAAATAGTAATATGGTCATGGAAAGTTGTAAGTGTTAAAAACTTAATATTTGGATTAATGGGTTAGCTAGCATAAGTCATGTTCTTATTGTTTAATAGAAACTTGTCTATTTTAAACATTCTCTTAAGCTATCTAGTACTTTATGTCAATGGCATTTTATTTCTGGAATCCTATAGTAAAAGTTAGTGGATCACTATCGGAGCATTGCCACTATGAACCTTTAACGACTTATCATTGTTATTACAGCAAAAATAAAAAAATCCCTAGAAATAACATAAAATGGAAACTACAAGCTATGAACGTGTTTTGATGTAGAGTTCTTGTTGTCTGGGCATACTGCAACATGAAACTCAGAGTACTTGATGATCTCTTATAAGTTGGCATGTATTCTTTCATTATATTTAGTAAATGCATCACACACTTGAAATCTTTCATAGTGTTTACGCATAACTAACCCAAATATCTGTCAAGTACTCTTAGCTATAAATGATATATCCAGATGAGAACCAACTGAAGCATACATTAGATTCCATAATGTTGAAATTAATGTATGAAATATCTTATGCACCTCTATTGTTTCTATACCACTATTGGAGAATTGAATGAAAGTAAGACCCGTTATTACAGTTTTGTTGTTCTTGTGATTGTTGTATTCTTGTGACAATAGAGGTACAACCAAAACACCATGGAAGTGGAAAATAGAAAAATATTTAGTTGGTAATTCGAAGAAGCTTTTGAAGTTGAGGATTTTTTATTTTTTTTTACTTCATTAGGCTCCATTTAGTATTAATATTGAGACTAAGACAAAATTACAAAAATAATGGGAGGAATAGGGAAGCATGACGACTTATGAGAAAAATATATGAAAATAATATTAACAATAAGGTTTGGGGGAAGAGTTATGCAAAAATAGAGAGAAAATATATATGCTAAAAGTGAGTCTGTTATTATTTGATCATTACACTTTTGAATGAAATTGTTACAACAACTTATAGAATCCCACGAGAAATAGCTTTGGCAACAAAAAGAAAGCTACTTAAAGTTTTTCAATCTTTTATGTTAGTTTCTATTGTATTACCAACTCCTGTTGCGACAAAGCCATATGAAAACATAACTATAAATATTTTCAGCCTCTATTTGTGACAATAGAAAACAGTAATTGAAAATGATACTAAACATGGCCTAAAATGTATCACGTAGCTGCAACGATCTTTTATTTTACTAATTTTTTTGTGTAATCTACTTAAATCTCTTATTTTTTGCTAGGAATGATTTCCCACGCTACTCAGCTTGGATAGAGGCTGGGAGACCAGTAGGGTACTCAAAGAGGATACACAAGCATCCAAGCTATGGCGCTCACCATCCATCACCACCACAACAGTTCAGAGGATATGGAGTTGAGATTTCATCTTTAAGAACAGTACTCGTGGATACTGATGGCAATGTGACGGGCAGGGCGGGTACCTCAATTCCCATGCCCCAACCCATGCTACTACCGGTCCGGGCGGGTAAAACCCGTGCGGGTACGGGGCGGGGCGGGTCGACCCACTCTTACATGTTATTTAGAAAAGATACACGCAAATTTTACTTTTTATGATAAAACAAAGGGTAAAACACTTTATGAAAGAAAAATATTGATAATAAAATGGGTAATTGAGTCTAACAAGTTGAAATATCGACTCTAACTAGCTGAATAAAAGTCAAAATATGAGAAATATGTATAGATATCGTAAGAAATTGAGATAAAATGGGTCTAGAACGGGACGGGGCGGGGCAGGGCGGGTCAAAAGTAGATACCCATGCCCCGCCCCACGTTGTTGCGGTTCGTGTAATACCTGCCCCATTACAGGTCAGGTCGGGTAATACCCGCGGGGCGGGTTCAAATTTCTATCACTACTTGTGGAGAGGCAGGAGGAGAACTTGCGTCCGTACCAGACACTGAAGAAGAAGCACTGGGATTTCTTTGAGCAGGGAGACATACAGAGTGTTAGGAGACGCAAACTTGGAGCCAAAGAGTACAGTTAGCGCAGTAGTGGGGCCATGCATCATTGAAGGAGTTCGATGAGAAGTTTGGTACCCACATCCCCGACAGTGGACAAGGAGGAAGCAACAAGTAGAAGGTTGAAATATTTGAGGAACTATCTTTTCTTTTTAATTTGAACATTTCGAGTCTTCCTATGTTACAATGGAGAAATAACTGTTACAATTTTAAATTTATTACGACAGTCAAGGTAACTCGTTCCTACCTTCTCATGGCTCACTTTTTTTTAGTACATTGAGGACAATGTTCATTTTAAAGTGTGGGGTGAGAATGTGTTGAGATGCTTTGCCTTGATATGCTATATACTTTCTACATGATTAGTCGTTCAAATTTCAAAATTTTCCAATGCTAAATAGTTATGATATGTACCTAAGTTTTTGAAATTTCTGAAGATGTTTTCCATCGAATAACTTTTACTCATCCCCTACAAGCATGATCACTTCACATCTTACTTTGAATCAATGAGGCTAGTAATCATCACTTTATCTAGGGTGGATATTGTAGTGACTATGAAGGATGCAATCGACAATGAGATAAAATGACCATTTGATATGTTTGGATGCTATGTTGTTTGATCTAGTCATAGATTTCTTATTATGCAAACGGTGAACTGTATCATCTAAGAAAATTCAAAATCTACCTATCAAGACGTTGTTATCATTCAAAATTTGTCATGTTATGTTGTAAAATAAAGTGTGGGGTAAGGCCAATGTCTGAGGCACCTTTTCATTGCTAAAAATTGGGTTATGGAAGAGATATTAGTTAAGCTTTAGTGGAAGTCCTACAAGGTGATGTTATTCCTCTCTGGTACAAGTAAAATTGTCACTCATTAAATTGATACCTAAAGCGATGATGTATTTTTAAGGGCACAAATAAAGCTTTCGACACCTCTTAATTTAATTGACCCTCTACACGAATTGAGGTGTAAAAGCTTCTAGCTCTTGCTCAACAAATAAGGGTCTAATGCTATAGAAAGCTCTCCACACAAGAAAAGTCTAGAAAAAGAAGAAAAAAATAGTTGTTTGCAAGAGAAGGAAATAAAAAAATTAATAGAAAAAGAGTGTGTTTGAATATGGAAAAGTGGTTAAAGGAGTGTCAAGTTTATGGTAGAAGCATTCAAAGCTTATATCGTTTATCTAAAGCTTCACTCTATTGTTTTGAGACTCTAATGCATAGGTATTTATTGATATTTGAATTGGATTGCATGATGTTTTTGCATGTTAACGTGGTTAGGAGTCTCTCTTGCTATTGTTGACCTTGAAAGTTCACCTTTGGTCAATTATCTAAAATCATGATTGAGTGATGATTGTTAGTTTTTATTGAGTTGTATGATTATGGGTAGTGTTTGGTTGGGGATAATCAAAGTTTAAGTGTGGGGTATTTCCAATGACACTCAATTTATATTATTTATATCTCCCATATTTGATACATTTTCCCCTTCTATCAATGCATCTTTAATACTTTCTCATTTATTTCATATCTAAATCGTAATTATTTGATCAATGAGCATTTGATAGACCTAGGTTGTATTTTGTTATCCTTTTATGCCTTCTTGGTATGTTTTTGTTCTTTTCAAAGTGAAATATAACCTATGAGGATTTGAATCAAGCATTGGATGACTCTGGACCAAATAAGCTAACAAGAGAATAATTTAGAGTTTTCATGTAAAAGATGAGGTCCAATGATTGTGAAACCTACTAGTAACCACGAGTAGAGCCCAAGATGATCTCAATGGAGAAAGACTCGGTCTAAACTAGATCAAGAACCAGTGGCGGCTCAAGGTGGGGTCCAAATCCCGCCCAAGCAAACTTGGTCAAATCATGGGGAAATCTTTAGGAGAGGTTGCTTATGGGTAAGGGAGGTCATCTCATGAAGAAAAGAGATTGGTGGTTCCCTCCGCTACTCATGGGCCCAAGCCCAATCGCGGTCTACAATGCCTTGCTTCGTCCCCAAGTCAGAGACTTATCCTAGTAGTTTTAGGAAGGTTTTGGCCTAGTTCTAGCATTGTTATAGACACTCTTTTCAAGTGAGAGCTTAGCATTCGTAGGAGAGAGTGCAGCTAAGGAAATGCCTTCATCGTCGATGGTGGTACCCTTCTTCTCTTCTATGTAAGCTAGTTTGAAATTGATTTTGTAGGAATTGGAACTCATTTATCTTTATGTGTATGATTTCATATTATGTTTGTGTAGATGCTTATGATTATCGATGCCATGTATGTATGCATTGATGCTTTACTTTGCGATTCCTATGTGTTTGTTATCAATACTCATCTAGTATTAATTATTTCTTATCATCGATTCTTATTATTCTATAGTATACTACTATATGCATTGTGCTTAGTATCATCTAGGTTATTAATAAATTACCCTCTAGTGATACCCCATTGATGTTACACGTTTATAGATGGAATGATTAACCATTTATACCTCGAGTAGTATCAATGCTTGATTGTTAGATCATCGATGATAATAGACCATCGATTATGGCTCAGGAGGAACTGGGTTAATCATGTGATATCCTCACTTCTATGCTCTTCATTGATTAGGTGATGGCATGAAGCGAAAGCAGACATTAGCTAGTCAAATTCCTATTGCTTGTGGCAAAAGCTCGAGTCGGGTGGTC